GTGATCCAACCATGTAACCTCTATAGTAGAGGCTTGGGTCACTTGAATTTCTGTGCTGAAAATCAGATCTAGCGTGTGTCCCGCCTGATGTGTGGGCCCAGTAATACAGAGCGAGAATCCTAGTGCCTCCATGGTACAAACTAGGTCCATAGCTGCTGATGAACAAGAGTCTGCATCAACGTGGATGTTGAAATCCCCTGAGACAATAAGTCTGGAGAACCTCAAGGACCACTCCGACAGAGTCTCCAGCAGCTGGGATAGACTGTCTGCTGGTGCGCTAGGCGCACGGTACACCAGCAGAAAGGCTATACTCTCAGAGGAATTGCACACACAGAGATATAGTACCATAGATTTGAAAGGGACCCCTAAAGAAGGACAATGATATGTTGCATGTTCCAGAGTAGGCAAACCAGACACTCCACATCAACACTGACAAAGAAACAGCAAGAAATACTGTTTACCCACAAGCATAAAGAATAGACATTAGAAACCAACACTTTCTCATTACTTTATTTTCCAGATCAACAGACTGGGCCACAGCAACGCGTGGCAGGGGACAGCTGGTAATATAAGGCTCCTAGAAAGTTGGTTACGCATGATTTTAGAGACTGGAAGAAAGGTTTCGGCGGTAACCAGGGGAGCATTTGCACAGCTAAAGCTTGTGCGCCAGCTGCGCCCTGTACCTTGGGAAGTCTGACTTGGCCATGGTAGTCCACGCTCTGGTTACATCCCGTTTAGACTACTGCAACGCTCTCTACGTGGGGTTGCCTTTGAAGACAGCTCGGAAGCTCCAACTAGTCCAACGCTCGGCAGCCATGATTTTAACAGGAGCGGAGCGCAGGGAGCATACAACCCCCTGTTGCGCCAACTCCACTGGCTACCGATCTGCTACCGGGCTGAATTCAAAGTGCTGGCGTTGGCCTTTAAAGCCCTAAATGGTTCCGGCCCAAGCTACCTATCTGACCGCATCTCTGCCTATGAACCCACCAGGACTTTGAGATCTTCCGGGGAGGCCCTGCTCTCGATCCCGCCTGCTTCTCAAGCACGGCTGGTGGGGACGAGAGATAGGGCCTTCTCGGTGGTGGCTCCTCGGCTGTGGAACGCCCTTCCTACGGACATTAGACTAGCACCATCTCTAATGGTATTCCGCAAAAAAGTTAAGACCTGGCTGTTTGAGCAGGCGTTTGAGTAATTTAGTGCAATCTGGTAATGGAACATAGGAATGGAACAATGGACGACGAACCTGGACTATGCTTGGATGATGAGAAGATTGGGTACAGTTGTTTTTGTAATAATTGTGCATTGTAATTGCTTATTGGTAATTTATGGATAATGTGTTAAGTCAATTGTTATATGTTGTATGGAACCACTGCTGTTCTACTGTTTTTACTGTTTGTGAACCGCTGTGAGTCGCCTTCGGGCTTGAGATACAGCGGTATATAAGCAAAGTAAATAAATAAATAATAAATAAATAAATATATTTTAACCAGTTTTCAGGTTCTCCTCCCTGGGTTTTCAGGTCTAGACAAAGTTCACCATATGGAACAACTGTCAGAATACTTTGAAAATGACACAGTACTTGCTTCCATCAAGGCTGAGTACATAATGTGGTGTAATATTACACCATCAATTAAGAAAGATACTGAGGTACTTAAAGTGTTGGAACTGTGTGACAAAACCTACTGTCAATAAATTTCCTTTTGACTGTTAGCTACTCTACCAGTAACAACATGCAGTGTGGAAAGATCATTTTCAACCATGAAGAGAGTGAAAAGTGTATCTAGAAGTTTATCTATTCTGTCTCCCATGCTTTTTAACATCTACATGAAACCGCTGGGAGAGGTCATCTGGAGTTTTGGAGTTTGGTGCCATCTCTACGCAGATGACACACAACTCTACTACTCATTTCCACCTAATTCCAAGGAGGCCCCTCGAGTGCTGGACGAGTGCCTGGCCGCTGTGGCTATCTGGATGAGGACGAACAAGCTGAAGATAAATCCTGACAAGACAGAGGTCCTCCTGGTCAATCATAAACCAGATCGGGGTATAGAGTGGCAACCTGTGCTGGACGGGGTTACACTTCCCCTGAAGCCACAGGTCCGCAGCTTGAGAGTCCTCTTGGATTCATCACTTACGCTTGAGGCTCAGGTGTCGGCGGTGTCTGGGAGGGCTTTTGCACAACTTGTGCGCCAGCTGCAACCGTACCTCGCAAAGGTTGATTTGGCTGGGGTGGTCCATGCCTTGGTCACCTCTAGATTGGATTACTGTAATGCGTTCTACGTGGGGCTGCCCTTGAAAATTCCAACTGGTCCAACGGGCGGCGGCCAGGATGTTAACTGGTGCTCCTTACAGGTCAACCCTCCTGTTTAAGAAGCTCCATTGGCTGCCATTCACCTACTGATCCCAATTCAAGGTGCAGGTGCTTACCTACAAAGCCCTAAACGCTTTGGGACCTGCCTACCTGCGTAACCGCATCTCCGTCTATGAACCCATGTGCTCCCTTCGTTCATCCGGAGAGGCCCTGCTCGCAATCCCGCCTGCGTCACAGGCGCGTTTGGTGGCGACGAGGAACAGGGCCTTTTCTGTGGTTGCCTCCCGACTTTGGAACACCCTCCCCAAAGACATCAGACTAGCACCCACATTGGCTGCCTTTAGGAAGAACTTGAAGACCTGGCTGTTCCGATGTGCCTTTCCGGAATAGGAAAACCCCAGCACTATGTCCCAGAAGCACTTTCTTAGGGTTTAAGATTCTCTGCACATTGCACCTGCCCAGAAATCCAACATGCCACCTGTCACACCCAGCACTTTTTAATCTGTACCCATCACTTGGCCCGGCCCTGGTTTTTACTGTGTTATGGTGTAATGTTGTTGTTATTGCTTTATGTTTTTTGATTTGCTTTGAATTGTATTGTTGTTATGCTGTTGTTGTGTAAGCCGCATCGAGTCCTTTGGGAGATGCTAGCGGGGTACAAATAAAGTTTAATAATAATAATAATAATGACAGACCAGAGACTTAGTGGTCCCATCCCGGGCAATGATTTCCATCCATCGGGACATTACTATCACACCAGAAAAAGTAATTGACAAAATGGCCGAGGAGAAGAAAAGAAGACTGTTGCTGTAAAGTAAAAAATAAGTCAAAAAGTATTCTAAAAATTTTGTTAATGAAAGTTAATAAATAACATCTAATATTTAAACGGTTATGTTTATTCATATCATGATCTGATCACCATGCTCAATATATCCCAGGAAGGCACCCACCTCAATTGACTCTGATGCCATTTTAAAGCAGAATGGAGGAAAGTGGTTTTGCTGTGCATATGGATATATTTGGTAACAATTCACACGAAAGGGATCTGAGAGTCTTAATGGACCACAGGCAGAGACGTGAGCTCAGAGGGTGATATGGCAGCCAGAAAAGCCAATGCCTTTCACACAGACACACACACACACACACACACAATATTTTAAATGAAGAACAATTTAAAGGTTTCCCCCTGATATTAAGTCTAGTTGTCTCTGACTCTGAGGAGTGGCACTCACCTCCATTTCTAAGCCGAAGAGCCGGCGTTGTTCGTAGACGCCTCCAAGGTCACGTGGCCACTGGAATGACTGTATGGAGCAGTACCTATTGATCTACTCACACTTACATGTTTTCGAACTGCTCTTGAGTCCCCTCCAGAGTGAGAAAAACGGGTAGAAATGTTATAAATAAATAAATAGTTATTACATTTCCCTTATTTTACTTTATTATTATTATTATTATTATTACATTCTATTTATTATTTTTATTACATTTCCATTATTTTACCTTATTATTACATCTCCATTATTTTACTTTATTATTATTATATTTATTATTATATTCTATTATTATTATTACATTTCCATTATTTTACTTTATGATGATTATTGCATTTATTATTTTATTCTATTGCTATTATTACAATTATTATTTTACTCTATTATTATTACATTATTTTACTCTATTATTACTGTTATTAAATATCCATTATTTTACTTTATTATTATTATTACATTTATTATTTTACTCTGTTGGAAGACTACGTAAGCACATTTACATTGAAGAAGATTAGAATAATGGTTTAATCAGAGTTGGACAGTCTTATCTTAAATTACAGTTTTCTGTAAATATTCAAAAACATTTAACCTACTGATACTGATTAATGCAATTTTTGGTATCTATTTTTATTTTGAAATTGATCAGTAGCTGCTGCATTTCCCACCCTCAGCTTATACTTGAGTCAATATGTTTTCCCTGTTTTTTCTATTGAAATTAGGTGCCCTGGCTTATATTCGGGTCGGCTTGTACTCAAGTATATATGGTATGTATGCGTGTGTACACACACACACACACACACATTCTCTTTTTACTCAGAGCAGAAGAAAATGTGTAACATTATTTCATTATAACTGAGATAATTAACTAGCTATGAGTACTCGTGTGTTGAAAATGTTGAGATATAAATGTATTCAAAATGTTCAACATCTAAACATGAATTTTTAAAAAATCCCAAAAACCAGTTGATGTGTGAACTTGGATGAGCAACTGTGGTCAATGTGTTCTACCATTGTAGCAAGTTTCATCCTGATAGCTCTAAAAATGAGGGTGAAAGGAGCCCCGGAAGCTTCCCCTCTTGCACAATTACATAATGAAAATTTTGTTATATATATATATATATATTTGGACACCTTATATTTAAGAAACACTTAGAGACCAGCGGAGATTCTAGGCTGCATTTGACAGAAGGATAACGTCTAGGGTGGCTTCCACAGAGCACTGATGTCCATTAAGGGGCTTCCTTTCATGCACTTCTGTCAGAGTTTTGTGGTCTGGCTGCTGCATTAAATGGCCCGTGTAACTGTGCCACAGTCAAGTTCTTCCAAGAAGGTGGCGATGACTTTTCCAAGCATATATTTTTCGTATACAAAAGCATGCAAAACCATTAGATTTCTACCAACAAAAGCATAAGCGTGTATACTAGCAATTGAGGCATTCCTTTAATGTTCAAGGAGAAACAGCAGTGTTTTCCTACATCACAGGAAGGCAGTATTTCCGGCTGGATGTTACCCACAAATTCCCAAAAATGCAACACCGATAGTCACCAGTTCAGTCCACCGAAGGTTTTCAAGATCCAAATAGCCTAGAGGAAAGCAACAGAGACAAGTTACCATATTTATTTTCAACAGGGATCCCATCAGGTCCACTGACTTTGTTATTTTTTAATTGGCAAATAGTTTTGCTGATTTCCCCCAAAAGTTTGATTATGCTGTATTTGTAGCGTTTATAAATATGTATATACTTATGTCCCAAGATCCCAAAGCAGTGTACCACAATGGTGAAAAACTAACTATTTAATACACAAAACAGATGGTAGACTGTATTGGGGACAGCTTTCAGAACTTGGTAAGTTTTCAACATGAATCTAGATATAAAAGTGTTGTGCCATGCTTTGGATCATATTATATAATATATATCATATTATATAATATAGTCACGCTATATAATATTAATAGTAGTATTTTAATGTCACACAATGTAATACATAGAAACAATAACATTATATTATATATACTGTATATACTTGAAGATAAGCTGATTTTTTCAGCCCTTTTTTTTGGGCTGAAAAACCCTCAGCTTATTATAGGGTCAAGCCAGGCAGCGGAGCCTAGAGGCCATTGCTTGCAATATATGGTATATTTCTCTCTCCTCCCTTAACAGTGTATTTTCTTTTCCAAATCCTCCCTTGCTTGCTCGAGCCAGTCAGGAATATCCATTAATCTTATAAAAGCATTTCCCGCCGAAATATTTGTTAATCTCGCCTACAGATATATAGGCATTTCCCCCTGCAAGCTTTTGCAATCCCTTTGCACGTATATATCTGTTTCTATCTTTCTATCTATCTATCTACATTAATTTTATATATGAATTTTCCCATCATATGTTTTCAGGTATTTGCAAATCCTATATATATATAGATATCTAGAGATTTCCATGTACCTCCTTCGCAGGCGTGATTGGTGGGGATGAGGGAGAGGGCCTTCTCGGTGGTGGCCCCCCGACTCTGGAACTCACTTCCCAGGGACATTAGACATGCCTCAACGTTGGTAGTCTTTAGGAGGAGCCTGAAAACGTGGTTGTTCCAGTGTGCCTTCCCAGAATAAGGAGAACTCTCAGCAATATGTCCTCACAATGCCCTTTAATACTGACTTAGGATGGACTGTGCTCCCTCATTTCTCTCTGAAAAATCCTATCCTAGTTATATTTTACCTTGTTCACGTCAGCATATTTTCAATTTTAATCTATTACATTTGGCCCGGCCATTTTTAAAATTGTTTATGTCACTATTGATTTTTTTTGTTTATGTGATTTATATGATTTGTATTTTATTGATTGTTTATTGATGTTGTGTTTATTGATGTTTTGTTTGATGTACTTTGGGCTTGGCCTCATGTAAGCTGCACCAAGTCCCTTGGGGAGATGGTAGCGGGGTACAAATAAAGCTTATTATTATTATTATTATTATTATTATTATTATTATTATTATTATTATATGCTGTGCTCCGCCCTGAGTCCCCTTCGGGGTGAGAAGGGCGGAATATAAATGTTTTCAATAAAATAATAAATAAATAAACAAAAATTGAGTTTGCGCAAAGCATGATATGGGTCAGACCTGGCAGATGAAGTGAGGAAGCAGTAAGGCATAGCTGAATAACAATGGAAAATAAGGTGTGCAGTAAGGCGTATAACTTGTACAGATGGTACCCCATAAGTCATATGGCCTGGAATGTGAATGTTTGGAAATCATGAGAATGGAACAACATGTTCATCCAAAGAAAGACTGACTTTAGGCTATAAAAGCCAGGGGACATCCAAGATTCAGAACGCTTCCTGAACCACGGCAACTGAGCGTCCGATCCTCTTGAAAAAGACTGATCATTTTCATTCGGAGAGGTCTGTGTGTGGGTATGATGGAGTGCTTGAGATGAATGAGAGTTCTCTCCTGATGTGATTCTATTCAATAAATGTTACATAAAAAGTGGTAAAACCAAATTTGGTCTCTGACGTGTCTCATTGATCTAATATACATCACTATTCCTTAAACACTCTGCATCAAAAAAATAGGGTTCATAACAAATTGGCGTCATGAACAGGATAATTAGCTATATAGAGAGAGATGTCTAGATAGATATATAGGGCTTGCAAACATTTCAGGGAGAAATGCATATGTGAAATTAGTATTTATAATTATCGATCTGTTTTGCTGTTGTAATTTTTGAGTTTTTTAATACTGGTAGCCAGATTTTGTTCATTTTCATGGTTTCTTCCTTTCTGTTGAAATTGTCCACATGCTTGTGGATTTCAATGGCTTCTCTGTGTAGTCTGACATGGTGGTTGTGAGAGAGGTCCAGCATTTCTGTGGAAACACGAATCAAGGAATATGAAAGGCACTGCAGACTACTTCAACCAGAGAAGTCAGCCATAGCAGAGCACCTGATGAACCAACCTGGACACAGCATATTATTTGAGAACACAGAAATGCTGGACCACTCTAACAACCACCATGTCAGGCTACACAGAGAAGCCATTGAAATCCACAAGCATGTGGACAATTTCAACAGAAAGGAGGAAACCATGAAAATGAACAAAATCTGGCTACCAGTATTAAAAAACTCTAAAATTACAACAGCAAAACAACAGAGAGGAAACAATCAGGCACATCAAATCACTCTCAACAAAAGATTCCCCCCAGGCACTTCCAAGCCATTAAATGCTAATCAAGGTGGTCAGTTGAAACATTCACACCTAGCTCCAGCAGACAAGAGTCCTTTGCCCCACCCTGGTCATTCCACAGATATATAAACCCTTTTTCCTAGTTCCAACAGACCTCACTACCTCTGAGGATGCTTGCCATAGATGCAGGCGAAACATCAGGAGAGAATGCCTCTAGAACATGGCCATATAGCCCAAAAAAACCTACAACAACCCAGTGATTCCAGCCATGAAAGCCTTCGACAGTACTGTCATTTAATCCACATTGGGTTTCTCATCCCTGTGACCATATCTGCAAGCTAGGCTGGGCTCCTATCTCTTTTCAATCTGAATTTCCATTGCCAGTTCTTTGTATTTCTCCAATGTAATTTTCTGGATCCCCTTCATTAACTTCTCTATTCTTCGACTCATGCACGGGCCTTCTTTCTTTCTGCCATTTAAGATTGCATGATTCTTATCCTGAATCCTCCATTTATATAATGACCCTGTCAAATCTTTCTCTGATTTCTGTATTTTTCTAACGATTTCCTCCATTGTATCTTTTCTCCCTATTTTCTGGCTTCAACACCCAGACAGGATCCCTCCAAGAGGTGCGTGTGCATCAGCAACCCTTTGCAACCACCCCGCAAAGCAAACCAAATGTTTTTAGGACTACAGAAGGAAGATGGAGAACAGGTTTGAGCCTCTGGCTTCTCTTGCCCGGTTTAAGGAAAAGGGGAGAGTACGAAACCCTTCCGAACCAAGCTTGGGAGGCAGGCAAAAAGGAGAAGGGAGCCCAGATCGCTCACTCACAGAATCATGCAGAACATCATGAAGATATTCCACAAGGCAATAAAGATCCGGAAGTAGCGCAGGCTCAGCAGAAACTCCCGGATGTTGTCACCTGCGGGGCCAGAAAGCAAAAGGTAGGTGAGATTTCCTCCAAATACAACCTGCCCCTTTGAGTCTCCTCTGGGGAGAGAAAATGTGGGGCAATAATAATAATAATAATAATAATAATAATAATAATAATAATATAACAATAATGTGATAATAATGTGATAATTAAGTAATAATGTAGTAATGTAATTTACTAATGTAATAATAATTTAATAATATAAATCCCTCACGCCCAATGTTTTTTGTATTTGTGGGTCTGGGGAAAGAGAGGATTTAACACACTATCTGTTACATTGCCCACTGTAGAATGACCCTCGAAACAATCTTTTGGGAGCCCTTTTGGAAGAAAGGGCAGCATGGCAACCGTCAGCAGTTATCTGTGACTTGTTAGCAGATTATTCCAAAAATATAACATTAAAGGTTGCCACATTTGGCGTCGCAGCCCAAAAAATCCGAGCCAAACTAGTAAAGTCCACAGCAGAAGCTAGAAATGGAAATTAAGATATTTTGGGGATGATACAAACCAGACAATTCTAATTGTTATTATGTCACTACTATAATTTTAAAGAGCTAGTATACAGAACTTGTTTTAATACTTGTATTGGAAAGTGCATATTGTACTTTTAAAGGTTGTATATTTTATGTCGTGGCCTATGGCTAGTACAATAAACAATTCATTCAATTTAATAATATACCATAATAATAATAATAAGACTAAGATAAACAAAAAATAACAAAAATGGCAAATGTTCAATGTCCAAAAACAAAGAGACAATCAAGGCAAAACATAAAGTAAAATAAACTCAATATAACTTATTGACAACCAAGAGCAAGGGTTAAACTAAATAGACATGACAGACACAAAGAATCATAGCAATTAATACATGGCCCATTAAAAGCATAATATAATATAACAATATCAACAAGCTGAGATAAATAACTTGTCAGGGCGTTGTCATTAATAACGTAATAATGTAAAATAATTTGATAATGTCATAATAATGTCATAATAATGTAATAATGTAATCATAATGTACCATCGCGGAGATTAAGATCCTCCGGGGAGGCCCTGCTTTCCGTCCCGCCATTGTCACAGGCGCGATTGGTGGGGACAAGGGACAGGACCTTCTCGGTGATTGCTCCCTGGCTATGGAACTCCCTTCCTGGTGAGATCAGGTCGGCCCCCTCCCTCCTGTCCTTTAGAAGGATGGTAAAAACTTGGCTGTGGGAACAAGCTTTCGGGACAGGGCAATGAAGCGATAATGGGAAAGATGACAAGGCCAATTGGATTTGATGCGGATGGCTAGGACGGTTTTAAATTGTGTTATTTTAAATGGTGTATTTTAATATTTAGATAAATGTTTTTTAATGTTTATGTATTGTATCCAGGCATTGAATGTTTGCCATGTATATGTTGTGCTCCGCTCTGAATCCCCTTCGGGGTGAGAAGGGCGGAATATAAGTGTTTTAAATAATAAATAAATAAATAAATATTTAATAATAATGTAATACTATTGTAATAATGCAATCATAATGTAATAATTGATTATTATTATTATTAACAAATAAATTTTATTGAATGGCCCTTAGGCCATATCAGCATGCCAAACTAAACTATCATTATTTATTTATATTTATTTACAGTATTTATATTCTGCCCTTCTCACCCCAAAGGGGACTCAGGGCAGATCACAGAACACATATATGACAAACATTCAGTGCCAATTATACAGTGACAAAACAGACAACAGATAGAGGTATGTATTTAGGTTTTTCCATCTTTCGGCACCTTTTGAGGCTGTGCTTGGTTCCAGCCACAGGGAATGCTGATGCTCCTGCTCCTTGCCGAAGAGCATTTTTCTTTCTTTTTTTTATCTAAACGCCAGTGCCTAAAATACCTTCCTGCTTTAATGCACCTATTTATTTACTCTCATATTTATTTTGGAACTGCTAGGTTGACAGAAGCTGGGCTAAAAGTTCAGGCGCTCACCTTGACCCGGGCTTCGAACTATCACACCTTCTGGTTGGCAAGATTTATTGCAGCTGTACTAAAGCCCACGTTATTATTAGCTCACCGTTTTGATGGGCTTCACAAACCCAGTGAGAAATACTGTATATACTCGAGTATAAGCCTAGTTTTTCAGCCCTTTTTTTACGCTGAAAAAGTCCCCCTCGGCTTATACTCGAGTAAAGGTTATTTATTATTTTACTGTGTTATTATTATTGTTATTATTATTATTATTATTATTATTTTCATTTCATTTATTATTTTATTCTATTTATTATTATTATTATTATTATTACATTTATCATTTTACTCTATTATTACACATTTATTATTTTACTGTATAATTGTTGTTATTGCTACATTCATTATTTTACCCTTTTTATTATTATTGTTGTTGTTACATTTATAATGTTACTCTCTTTATTATTATTGGAAGGATATTTAAGCACATTTACATTGAAGAAGGTAAATAATCAATTAATCAGAGTTGGACAGTCTTATCTTAAATTACCATTTTTGTAAATATTCAAAATATATAACCTACTGATTCCTCAATGAATGTAATTTAATTGGTATCTATTTTTATTTTGCAATTTACCAGTAGCTGCTGCATTTCCCACCCTCGGCTTATACTCGAGTCAACCTGTTTTCTCAGTTTTTTTGTGGTAAAATTAGGTACCTCGGCTTATATTCGGGTCGGCTTATACTCGAGTATATACGGTAAGTTAAAAAATAGAAAATGTCTGTCTTTCCTCCCCCAGTTTTATGTTGATAGTTGTTGAGCAAATGTTATATTTATACTTATCTCCTCTGTGGAGAGAAAAAATGGGGTCTAATTAATAATAATAATGTAATAATTTATTATTATTACTAGCCATCCCCTGCCACGCGTTGCTGTGGCCCAGTCTGGTGATCTGGAAAAATAATGAGAAAGTGTTGGTTTCTGGTTGTAGGTGAACTACAACTCCCAAATTCAAGGTCAATGCTCACCAAACCCTTCTAGTGTTTTGTGTTGGTCAAGGGGGTCCTGTATGCCCTGGTTGGGTCAATTCTATCATGACATTTGATTGTAGGCGAACTATAAATCCCAGCAACTACAACTCTCTATCTATCTATCTATCTATCTATCTATCTATCTATCTATCTATCTATCTATGGCTGGATGGCTCTTTGTCAGGAGGACTTTGATTACGTTTTCTTGCCCTGATGAAGGGAGTTGGATTGGATGGCCTTAAGTATTTTCTGTTGGTCATGGGATTTCTGTGTGGGAAGTTTGCCCCAATTCTGTCGTTCGTGGGCTTCAGAATGCTCTTTGATTGTAGGTGAACTGTGAATCCCAGTGACTACAAGTCCCAAATGTCAAGGTCTATTTCTCCCAAACTCCATCTGTGTTGATATTTGGGCGTATTGAGTGCTTGTGCCAAGTTTGGTCCAGATCCATCATTGTTTGAGTCCACAGTGCTCTCTGGATGTAGGTGAATTACAACTCCCAAACCTAAGGTCAGTGCCCACCAAACGCTGCTAGTATTTTCTGTTGGTCATGGGAGGCCTGTGTGCCAAGTTTGGTTCAATTCCATCGTTCAGAATGCTCTTTGATTGTAGGTGAACTATAAATCCCAGCAACTACAACTCCCAAATGACAAAATCTTAATTTTTTAAGTGATGGTCACTCCTTGTGTAGTGAGACATTTTGTTGCCAAATTTGGTGTGATTTTGTTCATTGGTTCTTTTGTTTTTAAGGTACTCATTATGCACAGAGCATTTTTATATATATATAGATTTGATACATAACAAGATTGGTGCACAGCAAACAAGATCACTATGCTGACTTTTGTATTTGATCACACATTGAATACTTCCCAGGTGTCTAGGACTGTGTGATGTATCGGCGAATAATGCCTGCAGATCTGAGTAGAGTACCTTTGCAGCTGACAGATGGTAATTTTGCCAGTTCCGATTGTGTTGAAGTGCAGGCCAAGGTCTTTAGGCACTGTGCCCTGTGTGCCAATCACCACTGACACCACCTTTACTGGTATGTGCCAGAGTCTTTGCAGTTCTATTATTATTATTATTATTATTATTATTATTATTATTATTATTAATCACTGGCAGCCATCCCAGAAGGGTTTGTTCACTGTTTAGGTTGGCTCTGAACAAGCCTAGAATTAAAGGGGCCCATTAAAGGTCATCCTGCCCAGCCCCATTCCGCGCTGCAGAAAAACCCTATCAAGAGGAGGAGGAGAGCAGGAAAGAGGCCTCAACTTACCTGTTGTGGGTTCCCTCACTTCCTCGCCAAAGCCTTGGCTGTCTTTCTTCCTCCTGAGAGGCAGAAAAAGAAAGATTTAATCCCCATTTGAAGTGTGTGTGTGTGGGGGGGGGGGGGGGGGTATCCATCATGAGAACATCCTGGCCATGGAGAGCAACAACTACCAGAAGAAGTTGGAGAAGTTTTTCTCTAACTACAGCTCCCAGTATCCCCTGGCCAACTTTGTGTTTCCAGACTGGAAAAATCCTTTCCCCTTCTGAGCCAAGTCCAAAGGAGCCACAAAGGACCCTAAAGATTTTTCAAACTTCTCAACCTTTTTCAGCAGCAGAGCCCTTCTCATAGAGCCGCAAAAAAGGTGTGTGTGTGTGTATGTGTGTGTGTGTGTATATATATACATACATACATACATACATATATATATATATATATCGTGTGTGAGTGTATGAATGATGCATTGTGTTTTAAAATTTGACAGACAGGCCAGATGGGCCAGTGGCAGATGGGTGGAGAGTGTTTGTGTCAACTAATGGGGAAAAACATGAACAAATTCCGATTATGCACACTGCATATCTGTGCACATAATCACTGTGCACAGTGTGCACTATAGACCAATCTCCCTGTTGTGCCACCTCTACAAAGTTCTGGAGAGTCTTATTTTGCATAGAATTATGGAAAAAATAGACCCATGTCTGATCCCACAGCAAGCTGGCTTCAGGAAAGGCAAAAGCTGCACATCGCAAGTGCTGAACCTGACTCAGCACATAGAAGATGGCTTTGAAAGGCAGCAGATCACAGGAGCTGTCTTCATAGACCTGTCAGCGGATTATGATATGGTAAACCACTGCCTCCTCCTGAGAAAAATGTATAATATCACAAAGGACTACCATCTCACCCACCTCATAGGAAACCTGCTACAAAACAGGAGCTTTTCTGTTGAGTTCCAGGGCCAGAGAAGCGGGTGGCGGAAACAGAAGAACGGCCTGCCTCAGGAGAGCGTGCTTGCTCCATCCATGTTCAACATCTACACAAATGACCAGCCACTGCCAGAAGGGACAGAGTTTCATCTACGCTGATGATCGTGCCATTACCGCTCAAGCAGGGAGCTTTGAGATGGTAGAACAGATGCTTTTCGAAGCTCTAGGTGCTCTTACTGCCTATTACAGGGAAAACCAGCTGATCCCTAATCCATCTAAAACACAGACATGTGTTTTTCACCTCAAGAACAGACAAGCATCCCGAGCTCTGAGGATGACCTGGGAAGGAATCCCACTGGAGCATTGCAGCACACCCAAATACCTGGGAGTCACTCTGGACCGTGATCTTACCTACAAGAAGCACTGCCTGAATATCAAGCAAAAGGTGGGTGCTAGAAACAATATCATATGAAAACTGACTGGCACAACCTGGGGATCACAACCAGACACAGTGAAGACATCTGCCCTTGCGCTAAGCTATTCTGCTGCTGAGTATGCATGCCCAGTGTGGAACACATCTCACCACGCTAAAACAGTAGATGTGGCTCTTAATGAGACATGCCACATCATCACGGGGTGTCTGCACCCTACACCACTGGCGAAATTACACTGTCTAGCCGGTATTGCACCATGCCAGGAAGTAGCAGCCAATAGTGAAAGGACCAAGGCAGTGACATCTCCAGCTCATCCCTTGTTTGGGTATCAGCCAGCACGTCAACAACTTAAATCAAGAAATAGTTTTCTAAGATCTACAGAGACACTTGCTGGAACACCTCAGCAAGCAAGAGTCCAAAAGTGGCAGGCTGAAACCCAGAACCTCAATCAATGGCTGATACCAAATGAGAGACTCCCCCCTGGGCACACAGAAAACTGGGCGACTTGGAAGGCGCTGAACAGACTGCGCTCTGGCACCATGAGGTGCAGAGCCAACCTTAAGAAATGGGGCCACAAAGTGGAATCCATGACATGCGAGTGTGGAGAAGAGCAAACCACTGACCACTTAAACCCTGAGCCCTGCCATATGCACAATGGAGGACCTCCTTGTGGCAACACCAGAGGCACTCCAAGTGGCCAGATACTGGTCAAAGGACATTTAATCAACGACCAAGCTTACAAACTTTGTGTTTTGTCAGTTTGTTTGTTTGTTTTGTTAAAAATGTAATACAAATGTCTGGTTGCTTCTGACAGGATAAATAAATAAAAAAATATCTGTGCAAAAAAGGAAAGAAAAAAGAATACAATATTTAAAATGCAGAACAATTTTAATAAAAATAAACTTAACAGTATTTCACTGGAAGGGACCCCAAAGGGCATCCAGTCCAACCCCTTTCTTTCTGCCATGCAGAAAAAGCACAAAGCACCCCCAAGAGATACCCACCCAGCCTTTGTAATAATAATAACAACAACAATAACAACAACAACAATAGTAGAAACCTCAGGGACCATCCAGTCCAAGCTCCTTTTCCCTTCATGCAGGAAAAACACAATCAAAGCATCCTCAAGAGATGGCCACCCACCCTTTGTAATATAAATAATAGTAATAGGAGCAACCCCTGTGGCCATCAAGTCCCAGCCCAATCTGCCTTCATGCAGGAAAAGCACAATCAGATGACCATCCCACCTTTGTTTAATGATTAATAATAATAATAATAATAAAGTAATTCTATCATCCTGCTTAGCATCTGCTCTCTCTCATGCTCTTCTGGATGAGACTTACAGCCGGAAGTTCAGCACGGCCCCTGCGTTGGCGAGCAGCGTCCTGTTCAGAAAGAGGAAAAGAAACAGGATATAATAGGCATGGCACTCTACGTGGGGTTGCCTTTGAAGGCTGCTCGGAAGCATCAAATAGTCAAACGAGAGGCAGCCAGGTTAATAACTGGGGCGGCATACAGGGAGCATACAACTCCCATGTTACGCCAGCTCCACTGGCTGCCAGTTTGCTACCGGGCACAATTCAAAGTGCTGGTTTGGCCTATGAAGCCCTAAACGGCCCCGGCCCAAATTACCTGTCCGAACGCATGTCCCCCTATGAACCATCACGGAGACTAAGATCCTCCGGGGAGGCCCTGCCCTTGTCACAGGCACGATTGGTGGGGACGAGAGACAGGGCCTTCTCAGTGATTGCTCCCCGGCTATGGAACTCCCTTCCTGGTGAGATCAGGTCAGCCCCCTCCCTCCTGTCCTTTAGAGGGATGGTAAAAACTTGGCTGTGGGACCAAGCTTTTGGGACAGGGCAATAAAGCAACAATAGGAAAAGATTACAGGGCCAATTGGATTTCATGCGGATGGCTAGGACGGTTTTAAATGGTGTATTTTAATATTTTGATAAATGTTTTTTAATATTTATGTATTGTGTGTGAATCTGTGTCCCAGCATTGAATGTTTGCTGTGTATACGCTGTGCTGAGTCCCCTTTGGGGTATTTGTATTTGTCGTGTCAGGAGTGACTCCTGGTGTGAGAGAATTGGCCGTCTGCAAGGACGTTGCCCAGGGGACACATGGATGATTTTGATGTTTTTATCATACTTGTGGGAGGCTTCTCTCATGTCCCCGCATGAGGAGCTGGAGCTGATAGAGGGAGCTCATCCGCCTCTCCCCGAATTCGAACCTGCGACCTGTTGGTCTTTAGTCCTGCCGGCACAGGGGTTTAACCCACTGCGCCACCAGGGGCTCCTCCTTTGGGGTGAGAAGGGCGGAATAGAAATCATAGAATCAATCATAGAATCAAAGAGTTGGAAGAGACCTCATGGGCCATCCAGTCCAACCCCCTGCCAAGAAGAAGGAATATTGCATTCAAATCACCCCTGACAGATGGCCATCCAGCCCCTGTTTAAAAGCTTCCAAAGAAGGAGCCTCCACCACACTCCGGGGCAGAGAGTTCCACTGCTGAACAGCTCTCACAGTCAGGAAGTTCTTCCTCATGTTCAGATGGAATCTCCTCTCTTGTAGTTTGAAGCCATGTTTTAAATAAATAAATAAACAACGTAGATTTATATAATCCTATACCATCATCATTTTTATTATTATTATATTTTTACATTCTATTATTATATTTATTTATTTATTTATATCTTGCTTGACAGAGACTCAAAGCGGCTCACAATCAAAAACATTAAAATATATAAATGTACAATCATAAAATGGCATATCATTACATTATTTTTATTATATTATTACTATATCCACAAGCATGTGGACAATTTCAACAGAAAGGAGGAGACCATGAAAATGAACAAAATCTGGCTACCAGTATTAAAAAAAACTCTAAAATTACAACAGCAAAACAGCAGAGAGGAAACAACCAGGCACATCTTAACACCTCTCAACAAAAGATTCTCCCAGGCTCAGCTAGGCCTTCAAATGTTAATGAAGGTGGTCAGTTGAAACATTCACACCTTGCTCCAGCAGAGAAGAGCTCTTTGCCCCACCCCAGTCATTCCACAGATATATAAACCCATTGTCCTAATTCCAACAGACCTCACTACCTCTGAGGATGCTTGCCATAGATGCAGGCGAAACGTCAGGAGAAATGCCTCTAGAACATGGCCCTATAGCCCGAAAAAACCCACAAGAACCTAGTGATTCCAGCCATGAAAGCCTTCGACAATACATTATTTATATCTTGCTTGACAGAGACTCAAAGTGGTTCACAAACATTAAACATTAAAATATATAAATATATAAATCATAAAATAGCATAGCATTACATTATTTTTATTATATTATTACTATTATCAAAATAGTAGGGGCAGTTCAGACCCCCAAATTGACCATAAAGACTCTGGGAGACCATAGGACAGTGGTTCTCAACCTTCCTAATGCCACAACCCCTTAATACACTTCCTCATGTTATGGTGACCCCCAACCATAATATTAGTTTTATTGCTACTTCATAACTGTCATTTTGCTGCTGTTATGAATAGTAACGTAAATATCTGATATGCAGGATGTATTTTCATACACTGGACCAAATTTGGGACAAAGACCCAATACACACAAATTTAAATACTGGTGGGATTCGGGGAGGGTAGATTTTGTTTGGGAGTTGTAGTTGCTGGGATTTATAGTTCACCTACAATCAAAGAGCATTCTGAACTCCACCAACGATGGAATTGAACCAAACTTGGCACTCAGAACTCCCATGACCAACAGAAAATACTGGAAGGGTTTGGTGGGCATTGACCTTGAGTTTGGGAGTTGTAGTTCACCTACATCCAGAGAGCACTGTGGATTCAAACAATGATGGATCTAGACCAAACTTGGCACGAATACTCAATATGCCCAAATGTGAACACTGGTGGAGTTTGGGAAAAATAGACCTTGACATTTGGGAGTTGTAGTTGCTGGGATTTATAGTTCACCTACAATCAAAGAGCATTCTGAACCCCACTAACAATAGAATTGTGCCAAACTTCCCACACAGAACCTCCATGACCAACAGAAAATACTGTGTTTTCTGGTGGTCTTTGGTGACCCCTCTGACACCCCCTAGCGACCCCTCCAGGGGTCCCGACCCCCAGGTTGAGAAACACTGCCATAGGATTTGTAGTTTCCTTTTCCCAGGGCCCCTAAACACCCCCCCCCCACCAACCCAGGAAACCGGTTGCGTAGCAACACCCCCCCCCCCTCCTCACCCGAAGAGCAGCAAATCTCCCAACATCCTGCCGCGACTTCCTGCCTCCTTGTGGAAACCGGAAGGGCCCTTCTCTCTCCCCCCGCCCCTCCTCTTCGGTGATGTCACGGAGCGCCTCCTGTCCCGTCCAATAGGTGGCGCGCGTCGTCCTAGCTTCCGCGCAGGCGCAGTAGCGGCCAACTAGAGCATCCCACTTGTGGTCCATTCAGACTCCCAGGGCCCTTGAGCAGATCATGATTAGTCTTATGGAGGGCCCTTTGAACCTCAGGTGGGATTTCCTTAAGCAAGGAATATTATTATTCAAGCCATGTATTATTATTACCCTATGTATTTCTATCCCTCTCTGATCTCTTAGTGGAGACATACTCTGCCAACCCACAAATATTGCCCTCGAATCCAATGCCTGGCAGGAAAGGGAGGGCTGTGGGCTGGACTGGATGGCCTTTGGGGGTCTCTTCCAGCTTGATGATTCTATGGTCAGGCCTGGGCCAACTTCTATGGCCCTCCCTCCAAGGGGTTTGGACTCCCAATTCTCCCAATTCCTCACAACCAGTATTATATTATTGTATTTTATTATTAGTTATTATATATTATTATTGGGTTGTTGTAGGTTTTTTTCGGTCTATATGGCCATGTTCTAGAGGCATTCTGTCCTGACATTTCGCCTGCATCTATGGCAAGCATCCTCAGAGGTAGTGAGGTCTGTTGGAACTAGGAAAATGGGTTTATATATCTGTGGAATGACCAGGGTGGGGCAAAGAACTCTTGTCTGCTGGAGCTAGGTGTGAATGTTTCAACTGACCACCTTGATTAGCATTTGATGTCCTGGCAGTGCCTGGAGCAAACTTTTGTTGAGAGGTGATTAGATGTCCCAGATTGTTTCTTCTCTGTTTTGCTGTTGTAATTTTCATCTGGCTACCAGTATTAAAAAACTCTAAAATTTCAACAGAGGAAAAACAATCAGGGACATCTAATCCCCTTTCAACAAAAGACTGCCCCAGGCACTGCCAGGATATCAAATGCTAATCAAGGTGGTCAGTTGGTTTCCAGGTGGAAGATGGTCTCGGTCGGGGTTGGCTTCCTCTTGGCACGTTTCTCTCTTTATTTATTTATTTATTTATTTATTCCATTTGTATACCGCATTTATCAGCCTGGAGCGGCGACTCAATGCGGTTTACAGTAAAAATAAACAGTGAACAATAAATAAGACGCACATCGACAAACAATACACATAATCATCAACGCCTACTTAGAATCAGATCCCGTTCTCATAGTCCTTAATTCAATCCTTGTTCAATGCCGTCATTATTGGGTGGTTGTTACTGCATGGCTAACCGAATGCCTGCTCATAGAGCCACGTCTTAACCCTCCTTCGAAACGCCAGCAACGAAGGGGCCTGCCTGATGTCCGCTGGTAACGCATTCCATAGCCGAGGGGCCACTACCGAGAAGGCCCTGTCTCTCGTGCCCACCAGCCGCACTTGTGACGCTGGCGGGACCGAGAGCAGGGCCTCCTCCAGACGATCTTGAAGTCCTGGAAGGTTCATAAGGAGAGGTGCGTTCGGAGAGGTAAGTTGGGCCAGAACCGTGTAGGGCTTTATAGGCTAAAGCCAGCACCTTAAATTTCTTTCACCCTCCATTCGTGCCTCTTCAAATTCTGCAGCACTGCTGGTCACAGCTGACCTCCAGTTGGAGCACTCAAGGGCCAGGGCTTCCCAGTTCTCAGTGTCTATGCCAGAGTTTTTAAGGTTGGCTTTGAGCCCATCTTTAAATCTCTTTTCCTGCCCACCAACATTTCGTTTTCCGTTCTTGAGTTCGGAGTAGAGCAATTGCTTTCGGAGACTGTGGTCGGGCATCCAGACAAGGTGGCCGGTCCAGTGGAGTTGATGGCGGAGGATCTATTATTACTATTACAATTATTATATTATAACTATTACTATTATTGTCTTTTATTGTGATTTTATTATTTACTAGCGGTCCCCTGTCACGCGTTGCTGTGGCCCAGTCTGGTGATCTGGAAAATAAAGTAATGAGAAAGTGTTGGTTTCTAATATATGTAATGTCTTTCTGCTTGTGGATAAACAGTATTTCTTGCTGTTTCTTTGCCAGTGTTGATGTAGAGATTGTCTGGTTTGCCTACTCTGGAACATGCAACATATCATTGTCCTTCTTTAGGGGTTCCTTTCAAATCTATGATACTGCATCTGTCATATACATATATATGTGTGTGTGAATAGCTGGATGGCCCTTTTTGTCAGGAGGGCTTTGATTTCTTGCCCTGGTGAAGGAAGCATTTCTCAACCTCGGAAGTTAAGACCCCAGGGGTGGGGGGTCACCAGGGGGGTGTCAGAAGGGTTGGCAAAGACCACCAGAAAACACAGAATTTTCTGTTGGTCATTGGGGTTCTGTGTGGGAAGTTTGCCCAATTCTGTTGTTGGTGGGGTTCAGAATGCTCCTTTATTGTAGGTGAACTATAAATCCCAGTAACTACAACTCCCAAATGTCAAGATCTATTTCTCCAAACTCCATCTGCGTTCATATTTGGGCGTATTGAGTGCTTGTGCCAAGTTTGGTCCAGATCCATCATTGCTTGAGTCCACAGTGCTCTCTAGATGTAGGTGAACTACAACTCCAAAACCCAAGGTCAATGCCCACCAAATACTGCTAGTATTTTCTGTTGGTCACGGGAGGCCTGTGTGCCAAGTTTGGTTCAATTCTATCGTTGGTGGTGTTCAGAATGCTCTTTGATTGTAGGTGAACTATAAATCCCAGCAACCACAACTCCCAAATGACAAAATCATAATTTTTGAGTGATGGTCACTCCTTGTGTAGTGAGACGTTTTGTTGCCAAATTTGGTGTGATTTTGTTCATTGGTTCTTTTGTTTTTAAGGTACTCATTATGCACAGAGCATTTATATATATATATATAGATAGATTACTACTATTATTGTTATATTATATTATTGTATTGTATGATTCATAGTTTATTATGTTATTGTATTGTATTATTCATATTTTATTGATGGTTGTTATATTATTAGGTTCTTGTGGGGTTTTTTTGGGCTATAGGGCCATGTTCTAGAGGCATTTCTCCTGACGTTTCGCCTGCATCTATGGCAAGCATCCTCAGGGGTAGTGAGGTCTGTTGGAATTAGGACAATGGGTTTATATATCTGTGGAATGGCTGGGGTGGGGCAAGGAGTTCTTCCCTGCTGGAGCTAGGTGTGACCACCTTCATTAGCATTTGAAGGCCTGGCTGAGCCTGGGAAAATCCCCTGTTGAGAGGTGTTAAGAGGTGCCTGGTTGTTTCCTCTCTGCTGTTTTGCTGTTGTCATTTTAGAGTTTTTTTTTAATACTGGTAGCCAGATTTTGTTCATTTCCATGGTTTCTTCCTTTCTGTTGAAATTGTCCACATGCTTGTGGATTTCAGTGGCTTCTCTGTGTAGTCTGACATGGTGGTTGTGAGAGTTGTCCAGCACTTCTGTGTTCTCAAATAATATGCTGTGTCCAGGTTGTATTAAAAAATTCAAAAATTACAACCGCAAAACAACAGAGGGGAAACAAACAGGCACATAAAATCACTCTCAACAAAAGATTCCCCCCAGGCACTTCCAAGCCATTGAATGCTAATCAAGGTTCATTTATTTACTTATTGTGTCATCAGCAACCATTGTATTACAATTCTAGCAGAGCAAAACAAACATACAGATTTTTTTAAAAAAAGAAAAAAAACACACACAGATTTTGCAAATTTGGTAGTTGGTTAAATGTCCTTTGACCAGTATCTGGCCACTTGGGGTGCCTCTGGTGTTGCCGCAAGAAGGTCCTCCATTGTGCATGTAGCAGGGCTCAGGTTGCATTGCAGCAGGTGGTCAGTGGTTTGTTCTTCTCCGCACTCGCATGCCGAGGATTCCACCCTGTAGCCCCATTTCTTAAGATTGGCTCTGCATCTCGTGGTGCCAGAGCGCAGTCTGTTCAGCGCCTTCCAAGTCGCCCAGTCTTCTGAGTGCCCAGGGGGGAGTCTCTCATCTGGTATCACCCATGAATTGAGGTGCTGGGTTTGGGCCTGCCACTTTTGGACTCTCGCTTGCTGGGATGTTCCAGCGAGTGTCTCTGTAGATCTAAGAAAACTATGTCTTGATTTAAGTCGTTGACGTGCTGGCTGATACCCAAACAGGGGATGAGCTGGAGATGTCTCTGCCTTGGCAAGGCAAGGCTAATCAAGGTGATCAGCTGAAACATTCACAGCTAGCCCCAGCAGACAAAAGTCCTTTGTCTCACCCTGGTCATTCCACAGATATATAAACCCATTTTTCCTACTTCCAACAGACCTCACTACCTCTGAGGATGCTTGCCATAGATGTAGGTGAAACGTCAGGAGAAAAATTGCCTCCAGAACATGGCCATATAGCCCGGAAAAACCTACAACAACCCAGATTACTACTATTATTGTTATATTATATTATTGTATTGTATGATTTATAGTTTATTATGTTATTGTATTGTATTGTTCATATTTCTTGATGGTTGTTATATTATTATTGTTGTTGTTGTTATAGGAAATGTAGGAGCCGGAAGTCCAAAGCACCTGGAGGGCGGTCCCATGCCTGCCGGAGAGGATGACCTAGAGCTCACCTGTGGAGCTTCACCTGCAGAGGATGCTGAAGGAGTGGGGAGGGCCCCTTTAAGGCTTTCGCTCTCCTTCCCAATTTGGTGCTGCGCCCTCCTTCCTCCTCCTCCTCCTCCTCCTCCTCTTCTTCCTTGGGGGATGAGGATGGGGAGGGCCCACCTCCTCTGGGGCTGCTTTCCTCCTAGTCCTCCTCTTCCTGCTGCTGCTGCTGCTGCTTCTCCTGGGTCCCTTTCCTCCTCCTCCTCCTCCTCTTTCTCCGGCCATGGACCTGCTGGGCCCCCTGGACGTGGGCGACTTGGCTGCTGCCTTTGCCCGGCTCCCGCTTTTCCCGCTCTTCGACCTGGGCTACTTTGTGGTCTCCCTCCTCTACCTGCGCTATGAGAAAGGTAAGTAGGTTCAATCCTAATAGACAGGGAAGCAGCAGATCCATCACAGGGCTCCTCCCCCACTTTCCCCTTTGGAAATCCTTTCCCTAAGGAAAAAGGAAGCCGCTTGGATCCTTTGTGTTTTCATTGCATTGGTTATTGTTCTACGACAAAATTCAGCCCTCCAGCTCTTTTGGACATCGACTCCGACAATTCCTAACAGCCTACTGTTAAGAATTGTGGGAGTTGAAGTCCAAATCACCTGGAGGGCCCAAGTTGTACCATGCCTGTTCTGTAAGATTCAACTCTATTGCAATATTTGTGGGGTTGAAGAAGGATATTATTAGTATAATGTAATACAATATAATACTAGTAATAATAATTCAATATCATAATTGTATATTTACATTACATGTAATATTACTAATAATATTACAATATAACGGTATAGTGCAATATAGTAATATATACTGATATTGGAGCCCCCGGTGGCGCAGTGGGTTAAAGCACTGAGCTGCTGAGCTTGTTGATCGAAAGGTCGCAGGTTCGAGTCCGGGGAGCGGCGTGAGCTTCCGCTGTCAGCCCTAGCTTCTGCCAACCTAGCAGTTCGAAAACATGCAAATGTGAGTAGATCAATAGGTACCGCTCCGGCGGGAAGGTAACGGCGCTCCATGCAGTCATGCCGGCCACATGACCTTGGAGGTGTCTACGGACAATGCTGGCTCTTTGGCTTAGAAATGGAGATGAGCACCACACCCCAGAGTCAGACATGACTGGACTTAATGTCAGGGGAGTACCTTTACCTTTACCAATACAATATAATACTAGTACTAATAATTCAATATTATAATTATAATTATATATTTACATTACATATAATATTACTAATAATATTACAATATAACGGTATAGTGCAATATAGTAATATATACTGATATTGTACTATGCTAATAATATATATTGCATGAGAATATATATTATAAGCCGCTCTGAGTCCCCTTCGGGGTGAGAAGGGCGGCATATAAATGCCGTAAATAAATAAATAAATAATTCTTCAAGTCTTGCCTTGCTTAATGTGCTATTATTATTATTATTATTATTATTATTATTATTATTATGTTATTAGGAGCCCCCGGTGGCGCAGTGGGTTAAACCCCTGTGCTGGCAGGACTGAAGACCGACAGGTCGCAGGTTCGAATCCGGGGAGAGGCGGATGAGCTCCCTCTATCAGCTCCAGCTCCTCATGCGGGGACATGAGAGAAGCCTCCCACAAGGATGATAAAAACATAGAATCAATAAATAAAGATTATTATTATTATTATTATTATTATTATTATTATTATTATTATTATGAGCCCCCGGTGGCGCAGTGGGTTAAACCCCTGTGCCGGCAGGACTGAAGACCGACAGGTCACAGGTTCAAATCTGGGGAGAGGTGGATGAGCTCCCTCTATCAGCTCCAGCTCCTCATGCGGGGACATGAGAGAAGCCTCCCACAAGGATGATAAAAACATGAAATCACCCAGGCATCCTCTGGGCAACATCCTTGGAATATTATTGTTATTATTGATAAGAAGTTTGAGCCCCCGGTGGCGCAGTGGGTTAAACCCCTGTGCCGGCAGGACTGAAGACCGACAGGTCGCAGGTTCGAATCCGGGGAGAGGTGGATCAGCTCCAGCTCCTCATGCGGGGACACGAGAGAAGCCTCCCACAAGGATGATAAAAACATCAATTCATCCGGGCGTCCCCTGGGCAACGTCCTTGCAGACGGCCAATTCTCTCCCACCAGGAGTCACTCCTGACACGACAAAAAAAAAATGTTAATTATTATTATTATTATTATTAAATTATATTCGGAAAGCCTGTAAAGCCTTTCTTTTCCGACAAGCTTTCGATGGGCGAATAACTCGGGACTATGTCTGCTCTCGTTTTTATTGTCTTTTAAAGTTGGTTGTATTGTTTTAATCTACTGCTGTAAACCGCTCAGAGCCAAATTGGGAGTGGCGGTATACAAGTCAAATAAATAAATAAATAATAAAATAACGACCAAGCTTGCAAACTTTGTGTTTTGTCTGTTTGTTTGTTTGTTTCATTAAAAATGTAATACAAATGTCCTGACACGATAAATAAATAAATTATTGTTATTGTTATTATTATTATTATTATTATTATTATTATTATTATTCAAGCTTCGCCTTGCTTAATGTATTATTATTATTATTATTATTATTCAAGCCTTGCCTTGCTTAATGTGCTGTGGTTGTTATTCAAAGGATCCTAGAGTCAAAAGGGAACCCCAAAGGCCATTCAGTTCAACCCCATTGAAATATCTGTGGGGTTGAAGAAGAATATTATTATTCTTCAAGCCTCGCCATGGTTAATTTTTTATTAGTATTATTATTATTCAAGCTTTGCTTGCTGTATGTATGTATGTATGTATGTATGTATATATTATTATTATTATTATTATTATTATTATTATTATTATTTAAGCCTTGCTTTGCTTAATGTGTTGTTGTTGTTGTTATTATTATTATCCGAGCCCCCGGTGGCGCAGTGGGTTAAACCCCTGTGCCGGCAGGACTGAAGACCAACAGGTCGCAGGTTCGAATCCGGGGAGAGGCGGATGAGCTCCCTCTATTAGCTCCAGCTCCTCATGCGGGGACATGAGAGAAGCCTCCCACAAGGATGATAAAACATCAAAAATCATCCAGGCGTCCCCTGGGCAACGTCCTTGCAGACGGCCAATTCTCTCACAACAGGAGTGGTTGCTCCTGACACGACAAAAAAAAAAAATATTATCCAAGCTTCACCTTGCTTAATGTATTATTATTATTATTATTATTATTATTATTATTATTCAAGCCTTGCCTTGCTTAATGTGTTTTTGTTGTTTTTGTTATACAAAGGATCCTAGAGTCAAAAGAGAACCCCAAAGGCCATCCAGTTCAACCCTATTGTAATATTTGTGGGGTTGAAGAAGAATATTATTATTATTCAAGCCTCACCTTGCTTAATTTTTATTAGTATTATTATTATTCAAGCCTTGCTTGCTGTATGTATTATTGGTCCAGGTCCATCGTTGTTTGAGTCCACAGGACTTGGCGAAACGATGGCTGCCAGGCTGGCTTTTATTGTATTAACGTAATGTTTTTAACTGTTTATAATTATTGTTACTATGTATTTTATTATGTTGAATTGTAGGCATCAAACGCATGCCGGTTGGAAGCCGCCCTGAGTCCCCCTTAGGGGGCTGAGAAGGGTGGGGTAGAAGTACCCTAAATAAATAAATAAATAAATAAATAAATAAATAAATAAATATTATTATTATTATTTAAGCCTTGCTTTGCTTAATGTATTGTTGTTGATGTTGATGTTGTTGTTGCTGTTAATTATTATTATTAAAGCTTTGCTGTGCTAAATGTATTTTTGTTATTGTTGATGTTGTTATTGTTATTATTATTGTTGTTGTTGTTGTTATTTAGAGGAGCCTAGAATCAGAAGGGAACCCCAAAGGCCATCCAGTCCAACCCTATTGCAATATTTGTGGGGTTGAATAATAATAATAATAATAATAATAATAATAATAATAATAATAATAATAATAATAATAAATACATTCAGCAAGCAAGGCTTGAAGAATCATCACCATCATAATATATTAAGCAAGGTGAGGCTTTAATAATAATAATACATTAAGTAAGGCTCGAATAATAATAATATGAATAATAATATAATACATTCAGCAACAACAACAACAACAATAGCAATAATAATACATTAGGCAAGGCAAGACTTGAATAATAACAATAATAATAATTAGGTTCTTGTGGGTTTTTTCGGGCTATAGAGCCATGTTCTAGAGGCATTTCTCCTGACATTTCGCCTGCATCTATGGCAAGCATCTTCAGAGGTTTGAGGTCGACCTCAAACCTCTGAAGATGCTTGCCATAGATGCAGGCGAAACGTCAGGAGAAATGCCTCTAGAACATGGCTCTATAGCCCGAAAAAACCCACAAGAACCTAGTGATTCCAGCCATGAAAGCCTTCGACAATACAATAATAATAATGATAATCATTCAGCAAAGCAAGGCTTGAATAATAATAATAATTATTATTATTATTATTATTATTATTATTATTATTATTATTATTATACTTTCAGCAAGGCCAGGCTTGGATGATGATGATGATGATGATGATGATGATGATGATGATGATGCTAATATATTGAGCAAAGCAAGGCTTGAATGATAATAATAATAATCAGCAAGGCTTGAATAATGATGGTGATAATAATACAGTTAGCAAAGCAAGGCTTGGATGATGATGATGATGATAGAAATTATAAACCCCTATAAACCACCGCAGCATTTAAGATCATCTGGGAAGGTCCTGCTCTTGGCAGGTGTGATTAGCAGAGACGAGAGACAGGGCCTTCTTGGTGGTGGCCCCTCGGCTGTGGAACTCCCTCCCCAGGGTTATTAGATCAGCCCCCTCCCTCCTGACCTTCTGCAAGAGAGTAAAAATGTAGTTTTAGAGAACTTATGCAATAGATGGACTTGGAACAGTGTGCAGTGTGACCCGGATTACGCTCGTGGATTACGTGTTTCACTCAGAAAGTATTGTTTTTAAATGTTTCAATTCTTTTTAATGTGCTTTTAAAATTCTATTTTAATATTTATTTAAGTGTACATTGTTTTTTAAGGCATTGAATCATTGGCTGTACGTAAAGCCGCCTGGGTAGAAATGTCACAAATAAATAAAGTAAGGCAAGGCTTGAATGGTGTTAATAATAATAATAATAATAATAATAATGTATTGTCGAAGGCTTTCATGGCTGGAATCCCTAGGTTCTTGTGGGTTTTTTCGGGCTATAGGGCCATGTTCTAGAGGCATTTCTCCTGACGTTTCGCCTGCATCTATGGCAAGCATCCTCAGAGGCATCTATGGCAAGCATCCTCACTACCTCTGGCAAGGGGTATCTATCACTATCTATGGCAAGCATCCTCACTACCTCT